CTACTATTGAACTACAACCAGTTTAACGCGCTTCAGATGTGTCTGACACGGTCCGGTTTAATTGTGAGTGCCTTTTACACTCAACAGTTATCTCGGTTACAGTGCTCGGACCGATCTCGGCACAGTTTCAAAAATGTAGTGTAAATGGGGCTATACTGTGTTTCCCTTTTAGGTGTCATATTTTAGTCAAGCAACAGATTAGATCTGGATGAGACAACGAAAAATTAATGAAATTGTATTTACTGAAAGGTAAGATTGACTTAAATCTTTTTCATCTGATCCTCTGAAATACATAAACTATTTAAGTAAAGTAAAACATCTCAGTCAGATTGAAAGGAGAGAGTCTGTATGTAGGGTTCCAATTTGAATTTCTCGTTTCAATTCTTATGGATTCTAGATTCAGATTTTTTAAGAAGACAGGTTACAAAAGTTTACCTTTAAAGTAAAGGAAACTTACCTAAATTTAGCCTATTAAATGAGCTGGCTAACCAGAGTTCTGTCTGATGTACAGCTGTCCATAAAAGACAGGGTATGTCACTCTGACATGCTGTAAGTCTATTTGTTTTTTGAAAGAAAAAGATGAAAGAAAGTAATTGAAGAAGGAAAGGAGACTCTGTTTCTCACAATGGAGAAATTAACTGTCTGCATTTAACCCATCATCTTGCACTAAAAAAAGACGCGTAAAACTTACTTAAAAAAAGTATATTGTAAGTATTTGCACACACATGATGTAAGTAAAATTTAATGCTGCAATTTCAAGTAACACTCACTTGCCAGTATAAAGTGAATTTTACTTTTCATAGGACACAATAGTTGGGAAGATATTAAGTAAGATTTACATAATTATATCCATTTTTCATAGGCACAAACAACATTTTACTCAAAATTTTAGGTAAATTTGCAGTCATGAAGTAATTAAGTAGATATTAATTATTTTCTTGTGCTTGACATATTGATTTACTTTGTTGCATTATGTTACATTACTCACTAATATTAGGTAATCATTGCCAGTTTTCTTTTGATATATGTCACCAAATAAATGTAACCAATAGGCTATACATTTAATATACATTAATGTCATACTCTGTGTTCTAGGTGCAGGTCTGTTTTTCTTTCTCTCCCACCTCTACAGGGCTGGACTGGCAGGTGCGTTCCATCAGAGCTAATTACCACCCTTCATAAGTAGCTGGAACCAGGAGGAGGGTGTCAGTTTGTTTACGCTTCAGCATGATACAGACCTACTCCTTGTTTAACCCTATTATCCATGAAACCTTAACCTAACCTCGTCCTTGTCGTTTCCTCCTAAAAAAACATCCAGTGAAAGACCTAGAAACCCACGCCTGGGATCAGAATCAGGAAAACCCCTGGAAACCTTCTCGTACAAGAGAAGAACCTCTGATCTTTCTGTCAGCCCTCCTGCCTGCGCTTGCCTGCCTGTTCACCCTCTAGCAAACCAACACAGAGAGAGAATCTGGATCTGCACCAACAACCCGGACAAATGAACAGCACTTCTTCCCCAAGACCAAGCCCAAGGTAGCACCTCAGTGAGTTCACCAGCCAAATATAATTTTCACAAATTGCAAAGCTCAAGTTTTTCACCATCCTCCCTATCTTTCCCAGCAGAGCTCACAAGACCCCTGACCAGCTGAAATTCAATCTTGTTCATCTCCATTTTTTCAATAAACTTTTCAAATATAAAAACTGTTGCAGTTATTTCGCCCATTCTGAGGCACACATTCAAAATATGACAATTAAACTGTTTATTTTTCATTTAAAACAGTTTAACATAGAAGTAAATACCCTATTGTATTGAATTGCCCAATCTTTCATGGGGCAGACAGAAATTTGACAGTCTAACTGGAATCCATCCATCCATCCATCCATCCATCCATCCATCCATCCATCCATCCATCCATCCATCCATCCATCCATCCATCCATCCATCCATCCATTTTCTGTCACACTTAAACCCAGTTGGGGTCACAAGGGGTGCTGGTGCCTATCTCCAGCTGTCTACGGGGGAGAGGTGGGGTACACCCTGGACAGGTCACCAGTCCATCGCAGGGCAACACAGAGATAAATAGGACAAACAACCATTCACACACACACACACACACACACACACACACACACACACACACACACACACACACACACACACACACACACACACACACACACACCTAAGGAGAATTTAGAGAAGCCAATTAACCTAACAGTCATGTTTTTGGAATGTGGGAGGAAACCAGAGTACCCCGAGAGAAGCCACGTATGCTCAGGGAGAATATGCAACACCATGCAGAAGGACCCCGGGCCAGGAATCGAATCCGAAACCTACTTGCAGCAAGGCAGCAGTGCTACCCACTATGCAGCCCTCTAACTGCAATCATACTTTTTAAATATGCAATAAAGAATTTACAACCCTCTGAAACTGAGAGTTTCAGGGGCTGTCCCATTTGCTATATATGCTCTGTGCGACTCCAAAACTGACTGTTTGCCCAAATGATTAAAAGATTTTCTTGCAATTCTTCCAAAGCAGAGGAGTTTTACTTGAGTTTTACTTTGTAACCAAATATCTCTTCTTGTTTGAACCATGTAATTGGAGTGTCATACTGCAGGTCTGGTTTCTGTCTCTGGCTCTGTTCGAAAACCTAGGACGCATCCTTAGAAGCCCGGATTCGAAGGCCGATTACGTCATAGCGCGGCGCCGAGGTCTGGTCGGATTCCAAGAGTCCTCGTTATGCGGCCTTAAAATGCGTCCTTCTTTTTGCCCAATTTGAAGGACGGGTCTGATGTATCCTCGGTATTCTTGGATATCCCAGGATTCATTGCGAGACCAAGCAAGCTGTGATCAGAGTAAATGTTACTTGACGCCGAACAGTGGTGAAAATTGGAAGTTCAGTTTAATACAAGTCATTTAATAGTTCCGTCTGAGATTAATGAAAAATAGTTGTTTTAATGGTTTTTGAGCTGGGACCAGGAGGAGGGCGTCAGTTCTTTCTCGCTACCAGCTTGGTATATGACCGACCAGCTTTCTCTTAGATTTGTATTCAAACCAGATCTAATCCCGTGTCTCTGTTTTTTCCCTCCTAGCAACCACTCAAGCCAGTTAGCCGCAGCCCTCCTCCAGGACCCCACCTGCCTGTCCACCCTCCTACACACCATCACCTGAAGGGTAAAGAGTCAGTTGCTCCTGGACCCAGGACACAATCCTTCCAAGCTCAAAAAAACCTCAAGCCCCGTGAGTTCAGCATCCTCCACCTTCCCTCCTCCTCAGATCAATTGTTCACCATCACCCAATCTTTTCCCTAGGCTGTACCAGGAAGATCCTGCCAGACTCCATTTTCTGTTCTTTGTTTTAATAAACTTTTCCTTAAACTTAACTAACTGTCTCCGTGGTTGTCCTGATTCAGAGTCGTTCTTCTCTCATTATGTCATGGAGCTGACTCGCTGCACTGTCCAACTATAATAGACCTGGGGTCTCAGTCGGGGCTACCCAAGCCCCCATGCAGAAAATCATGTCGGGTGTGTTCATCCCCATTGACTTTCAATGAGCACTGAACAAGGCGACCTTGTCCGGCACAATTTTCTGTGGGATCGCATGCAAAATCGGATTCCGTGTGTTCAGGGCTCAAGCTGAGCAAAGTACTGGGTTGCTTGAGGGACTAGATCCCCATGGAAGGAAAGTGTGGGTAATATAAATTAGTTGGGTAATTTTGTATTGAAAAGCAAGCCTGATTTGCCTTTGAGAAGACCCATGCTTTGAGCGACAGTGGAAATGGGGCTATGAGCAATTATTTTTAGGATACTTACAGATACATACGGCTCTTGGTCTTGAATAAGCTCACATCTTGTTTTAGTAACAGTACTTTTTCTTTGCTCAGTCATTAGATTGATGGTATAGCTTGCTTCCTCTCTGTTGTTATCACTCTTTTTTATAAATAACCTTGCAGCATTTCTGCTGTTTATCTGGTTTGTAAACTTTTGTGCTTTGCTTTTCACATCTTATTTTTTCTGAGTATTGCTCCAGTTCAAATGCCTTTTGGTTTAAAGTTGTAAACTCTTCCATCTCCATATTTGATTGATGCTCTGTGAATTTGATGAAGTTAATGTGAATTCAATTCACCTTTTGAAATGCCTTATTTGTCATAAGTACACTATAAAAGATCTAATCAGAAGTCCTGCTGATTTTGTGTTATTGGAATGTGGAAATCTGGATTAAGTCAGTTGGGCCAAAACGCTGACTAGACAATCAATGGCACTTTTGCAATATAAAAGGCCAGCTCTTCTTTATTCTTTTTTAGTCTTTTTGTTTTTTCCATTAAGAAGAAGCTGTATGAAGCCTAAGAGGTAAGAATTTTTAAAAGATTTTAAAATCCACAATTGCAACAGTATAGGAGAATAAATGGATTTTCTATTCATCAATAATGGTTGAAAAAAACTAAGAGTTGTAAGAAAATTTGTATTCACTCATCTGTAAAAATCATAGCTATAAACATTTCACTATAATGTTTTTATGGAAGAATTACATTTGCAAACATAAACTGGAGTTTCAAGCAGATTTCCAGTAGATTAGGTAAAGATTTTCATAAATATGATAAAATGTTGATTCACAAAATATTGAAGAATTTAAAAATAAAAAGGTTTATAGCTGTATTGGAACATCTAAAAATACTTTGACAGACATAATTTATGCTTCCATGGTCAGAGATCAAGTTCCCGTGGCATTTGTTCTCAAACAAACTTCCTTTCAATCTACAGGGTGACAGGATCTTTTAGTATATCATTTTAAACCTATATGTATAAAAAAGCAACCACATATTAAATATAAAAAAAATGCTCAGCTGATGTTGAGTATTAAACCTTTTTTAAGCATTTTTATTTGTATGGTGTAAAACAAAATAATATCCCCTGTCATTCCCATCTTTGATGATTGATCAAAATGTCAACATGTGGTCAGTTTGCAGTCCAAGTCTACAAAGTCCATTTTAATCATAGTATTCCTGAACCCGCATGGAACAAGAAACCTATGGAGATTTAAGATATAAACACGTTTTTATATATTTATTTAATTAATCTCTTAACAGTGGGCCAGAGTTTGTGGATGATCAGGTAAGAGGTTAACACTTTTCAGCTGTTTGAGAAAGCAGAAATAATAAAAAAGGAGCTCATGTCTTCCAGGAATTCTTCATGTGTAAAATATTGTGGGTTTGAAATATTTTTGGCGAACAATAATCTCTCTTTTTACTTAAATTTCTTGTACCCTTTGCAGGGCCGGGCCTCTGCTAAAGATATAATATGGAAAAACAGCTTTATCTTTCCATTTTGTTTACAGGTGAGATTTTGCTTTTTAACATACTCCGAGCTTTATATTACAGCATTAATATAACATTATATAGCATTTGCTATATAGAGCAAATCTTTCCTTTACAATTATAGCTTAATAAAATAGGTATGTGCTTCTAACTACAATCTTCACAGAAAGCAGAAGCATAGGACACTAGTATGATAATAAAACATATATTTATGGTTTAATCTTATATATTTTTGTCTGTTTTTTTAACTGAATGAATTTTCTAAATTGCAGCAATTTTTAAACAGATAGTTGTTTTCAATTTTTATATCCACACTCATAATGACTAAAACTTTATATAACTGACCTTTAGGTCTTCTGAGCTTACCACTGCTAGCAGGTGAGTACATTTCAAATATAAATGATTGGATATGCAGGTACATCTTATTAAAGAGGGCTCTTCAGTTTTGGTAACTTTTCATTTTCAGAATGTGAGAAAATTAGGTTGCGTGGGCCTTCCCGTTGCGCTGGCAGAGTGGAGATCTTTTATCAAGATGCCTGGGGAACGGTGTGTGATGATCACTGGAGCATGGCCAATGCTGAGGTGGTATGCAGAGAGAATAATTGTGGCACAGTTATGGAGGCCAAAAAAGCTGCATTCTTTGGAGAAGGCAGGGGTCAGATGTGGCTGGATGATGTGCAGTGTACTGGGAAAGAGACCTCCATTACCAAGTGCCCACACAAACCCTTTGGGGTAAATAATTGTGGGCATAGTGAAGATGCTGGCGTTGTATGCTCAAATAGGCTTGATTTTACTCACAGTGTATAATATGTATCACAAATGTATAATAATGTATTTGTATTACCTTGGAAAACAGATGTACTTGCTTTTTTGACAAGAGTTAAAGGCTTTGTGTTCCCAGTTTGTCAAACAACAGAAATATCTTTATTATTTACCCATATAAAATTATGTCTTAAAAGTAAGGGCCAATTAAACCAAGCCCAGTGGGCTTTCACTGCAATAGTTTTAAAGAAAAAAGATACACAAAATATTATCTTTACATTCTAAAGTTTTATTTCAGGAGGAATCAGTTCAGTTGCGTAACTCATGTCGGTTGGGGAAATTGGGGAATTCTCTTTTCATGTTCTTTAAGGTAAACACATTTGTCACGTGTCTACCATACTTGTTATCTCGAGTTTACGCTGAGATATCTATAAAAGCCCCTCAGCGAACCTTGGAGCTGGCAGCCTCTGGAAAGTTAGCTTTGAATCCTTTGCGGAATTTCTTTCAAACTACATTTCAATTTGTGACAAAAACATGAAAAGATCATCAAACACATTTCACTAATTAGCCCTTGCATAAAGACAAAACTTTTCACGTCCCATGCAGGACAAAAATTGTATGTGGTTATTTTAAAATTGAAAATTCAGATATTCACATATTTATAATGTGAATATCTGACTTTTTATGTTTTGTAGCTAGGCCCAAGACTCATTCTTTCTTTTTTTGTTTTGTGGCATAATTTAGTCTAAAAGTCTTCTGAAGTCATTAAAACCAGAATGAAAATGTAACTCTTGGTAACGAACTCAGCACAGAAAAAGTTATATTAAGACAGATGTTTTTTGGGCAGTTACCAGAATAAATAACAATTATGTGTTACCTCTTGCATGGCAGTTGTAAGGCAGCTTGTTATAGAGCTCTTAGAGATACAGTGGACGCTGATACCAGTTTGGATTTTGCAAGCTGGGGACAGGTCCAGGTTATAATCTCCTTCGTGGTGCACTCTTATGTGCTGTAATGAAGGATGAGGGGAAAACACTGTAAGAGTAATTAAGGCTACTATTGAAAATGCTTCACTTATGGTTTACAATAAGAAATGTTGATAAATAAAAATTTAGAATAATTATTTAATATGTTTCATAAAAAAAAAATTTTTTGCATTTGTTTTGGCGAACTATGTCCTTTTGAAAATACATGTATATCAGAAACCTTCAAATTTGGAAAATGTGTGTTTTCCTTTAACCAAGTACTTTAGAATAGTTTTTTAAGGAAGGTACTACATAGAAACTGCTCCAACCTTTTTCAGGAAATATACCGGTAATCAAATTTTGACCAAGGAAGGGTGGTAGAAGCAGATTTTTTCACCGTGCCTCGTTACACAAATTACAAAATGTTAAGTAGTGTGATAGCCTGGTTTAAATCTTACCTGAGTTGTAGGGATCAGTAAGAGTAAATCACACACTATACCCCCTACAAAGCTGCAATATGAGAGTACCTCAAGGCTCTGTTTTCTGGCTTTTGCCTTTTAGTCAGTTCAGCAATGACTTGTCCCAGACGGTATCATCACTACAACACACTTCTATATGTATTTTCTTAACATTTTGATAATTTAGCAATGTATGGCAACACTGGCCTACCTTCTAAGATACTTGACAATACCCCAAGTCACAAGGACGACCTCTCGGGGAGCATGTAGCCCCCCGAAATGACCTATTTTGCCATGTCAGTTTTCTTTTCAATTGCCATGTATCAGTGGAACACTTTACGTATAAGCTATCAAACATTTGCACATTTAACGAAGCAACTACCACCTACACCATACCAACCTCTATCAATCAGCTTCATCTGACAGAACAAAGTTGTATTCAAACTCTTTTGAGGATATAAAAACTACCCTTACTACTATTTCATAATAACTTACTATTTTATTCTACTTACAATTTATAATACTCACTACTTCATAATAACCAGATCAGGAATTCAAAATTATTGGTTAGAATCTCATAATCATTACTTCAGATGTCATAATTAGGAGATAAAATATCATAACTTTGAGATAAAAATGATGTAATTCCAACATAAAATCTTTTTATTACAAGATAATATGTCATATTTAGTAGAAAAGGTGTTATAATTATGAGATATGGATCACATTATCATGAGATACTGAAATGTAATTATAAGATAAATAGAAAGCAGCCATTTAACTGAAGTTAAGTTAGACTTTACTTTGAAAAACATCCGTCAAGTCAGCCTTTACAGGGTTTTTATAGATCACGCCTACATCATAAAACATGGTAGTAAGGGTGGCTTGGACTTTTCAAAATAAAAGTGAGTCATCATCTTTACCCCTTTGGTCAAAAAATTATTTCTTCTTGTCATGTTCGGGCGAATATGCCTAACCCACATGCAGAACACTCGGAGGCAGAAGAAAAGTTCAAAGATTTATTTGACAATAAATGTACAAAGTAGTTATGGTTCAGAGAGTGGCTTGACTGGTCACAAGAGGGTTCTGTTAGAGCACACAGGTTAATCAGATCCAGGATGAGATTTGACTGGTCTCGAGTGGGTTCACTGCAGGGGAGGACAGAGAAGTTAGCGGAGGTCCAGGGAATTTTGCAGGGTGAGTGATTTCAGATCTGTACCTGTTCTTGAGTGGAGCAGAGCTGCAGAGGGGGGGAACCCTGAGGGTCCAGAGGCTGACGGCAGGTAGAGGGCAGAGGCGGAGGCAGAGCTTTACTGATTGCAGGCAGATCACTGATTGAGTTTCCGGTAATCTTCTGAGAGCGGGCAGGCAGATCTTTGACAGGAACTGTTCTCGGCAGAGAAACCGGCAGAGAAAACTCTCCAGAGTTTCAGGTTTCAGGCAGGTTCAATCGTTACTGGCAAACACTCTGGCACTGGAGTGAAACCCCCCGCCTCCTTAAGTACGGATCTTCTGATGAGCAGATGAGGGACAGGTGGTGCAATTAGCTCCAGCTCCAGGAGATCTCGTACGCCCTCTGGTGGAGAAAGTGGACAGACCTCCAGATCCCAACACTTCTATCCTTACGTGAATATGGACATATATGAAAATGATTTTAAAGTTTTTTATAATTAAGTTTGTCACTGTGATCTCTATATTTGTCACTTTTATCTAAGTCTCTATAAATATTTCAAGAAACTCTCTGTTTCAACTCACTGATTTTAATTCAGGGTGATAATAGGACACCCCTAGATGCTGATCACCAAAGGTCATCAAGATTTGATATGGAAATTCAAAGCTAAACCCTTTCAACATCTGTAAAATTGGTTACTTTATCTAAGCTACTGTCACAGTTTCTAATAAACGTTGTTACTAGCCACTAATCCCTTTTTACTGCCTTTTACTTTTAGAACATGTTCGAGTTGTCAATGGAACGAATCGTTGTAATGGTAGAGTGGAGCTCTTCAATGATGGTCAGTGGAAACGAGTGTGCAGTAGCGAGTGGGGGAAGGAAGAAGCTGACGTGTTGTGCCGGGAGATCAGCTGTGGGTCACCTGTTATTCAATCTGCAACACAATACTTTGGAGAAGGGCAGGGTCGGAACGGTATCAAAACCAATTGTGTTGGAAATGAGACCTCCATCTCTGAGTGCACTCCACAGGAATTCAGAGAAACCTGCATTGATGCTACCATTTCCTGCACGAGTAAATCAGTTGACATTATACCACTAATTTTCAGTAATGTGAATAACTACTTACAATTTCTATTCTGAAACTCGACAGATAGCAAGCCGATCCGGCTTAAAAATGGGACTAATCGGTGTTCTGGTCGAGTTGAAGTCTACCATGACGGACAGTGGGGAACTGTTTGCGATGACAAGTGGGGTATCCAGGAAGCAGCCGTAGCTTGTCGAGAGATGAACTGTGGAAATGCACTTGCAGTCAAGAACAAGGCATTCTTTGGCGAAGGACAGGATCAGGTCTGGTTGGATGATATTGAGTGCAATGGTCATGAGAAGTCCCTATCTGAATGCCCACATAGAGGTTATGGAGAGCATGACTGTAACCACCATGAAGACGCTGGTGTAATTTGCTCAGGTAACTAATACTCTGTTTTTGTTATTTATGTACGTGCACAACATTTGAGATATATCTAACCTATGTCTCTACTTGCCTCCCAGAGTCTGTGAGACTGATTAATGGGACTGACAGCTGCTCTGGTAGAGTGGAGGTCTTCCACAATGGTCGGTGGGGAAAGATCTGCAATAACAGTTGGGGTGCTACAGAGGCGAAAGTTATCTGTAAAGAACTAAATTGTGGAACTCCAAAAAAATCTCAAGATGTCTTCACTTTTGGTGACAGTGCACTGGCAGGATTCATAAGTAAATGCTCTGGTAATGTGAGCTCTATCAGCCAGTGCTTGGTTGATGAACATATCGGAAGATGTGATGGTGTTTCTGTTGCATGTACAGGTAAGGTAGAGACTGTAAAAATAAGACTAAAAAATAAAATGTTCTCTCATAAAGACGTTTACCAGTCTGACCTGTTTAGAAATACCTTCTTTAACTAAACCAACTACTAGATAAGTCAAAGATACAACAGATATCATTTAACCAAATGACAAAATCATAGGAATATAGTTGCTTCTAGGGTTTCAGTTATGTGCCATTTTAAGTAGGTTAATATAGATAAGCCAATTTCTAAAGTTTATACTATTCCAAAGAAAATTGCCACTTAACAACAACATGACTGTTCCTTAGGAAATCCACCTCTTAGGGTTGTCAATGGCACTGATCGATGCTCTGGCAGAGTGGAGGTTCTGCATGATGGCCAGTGGGGAACAGTGTGTGATGACGAATGGGACATCAGAGATGCTCAGGTAGTTTGCAGAGCCTTGGACTGTGGAAGTGCTCAGACTGCTAAAACTTCAGCTTACTTTGGTCAAGGCCAAGGAGACATCTGGATTGATGACGTCAATTGCATTGGCAATGAGTCTTCGCTCATACATTGCAGACGTCCTCCTTTTGGAGAAAATAATTGTCACCATGGGGAAGATGCTGGAGTGATTTGTTCAGGTATGTTACACAATATTTTAATAACCACTATTATAAATGTCTGGTTATCAAAGTATATATATGTTTTTTGTCTGATAAATGTTTTGCCCCTAACCAAATTGTTTTATGTTTTTTAGCTAACCTCAGGTTAATCAATGGCAGTGATGTGTGCTCTGGTAGAATTGAAGTCTATCACAGTAGCCACTGGTCACCAATATACAATATCAACTTTGGTATGAGTGAAGCTGCAGTGGTGTGCAGAGAGATGAATTGTGGAGATGCTGTCAAGATTCCAGGATCATTTGGTCAAAGTGGAGACCTCAGAGGCTTAAAGATGAGTTGTAGTGGTACAGAGCATTCTGTCACTCAATGTACACTGAGAGAGCATACCAAGACAGGAAATGATCATACTGAAGAGGCATCAGTGCAGTGTTCTGGTATGTGCTATGTCATGTTTTAACACAAACTATCTCAACTGAATTATTCTTATTCTTGAATTATAGTAATTATTATTGAGTATTATTGAGTTTTAAAACATGACTTATACTTTCAATTTCATGACTATTACTATCTTTCACTTGTAATTTTCAGGAAGTGTTAGGTTAGCTGATGGGTCTCACCACTGTGTTGGAAGAGTGGAGTTTTATGATAAAGGCCAGTGGGGAACTGTGTGTGGGGAATCCTGGGACATGGATGATGCAATGGTGGTGTGCAGACAGCTGAACTGTGGAAGGGCTCACAAGATTACCAGATTGTCTGAGTTTGGAGTGGGCTCCGGACAGACCTGGATTGAACAAATTGAATGCAATGGAAGGGAGTCTACGCTCTCTCGATGCCCACAGAGACCTTATAGAGACAGAACCTGCAACACAACTGCTATAGCTGGTGTGATTTGCACAGGTAAGAATTGATGGCTGTGTCCTAATGTACGCCCTAATCACTATATAGTGATTATGCCATTTTAGATGAATGTCCGAACTCTAGTGGATTAAAAAGTAGTGGACTTGAAATTTCCCACAATTCACCTTGAAAAAGTAGAGATCATCCATGGTCACTAGACAGGCAGATATATCTTGGAATGCTTTGTGAGAGCTCTCCTCACAAAGCCTTATCGGATTTGTCATCACAGAGCAACTGTTGCTACCCAACAGCAGCCACAAATAACAATGATGACGTAGGCACCATGCAGGGAGGCAGAGTTACATGACCAACTGGGAGCGAAAAGAAGTGATCACCTGCCTGAATGGTCAGTTAACTCAGTTAACCATAAAGTCCGCTATATAGCTCCTGCCCTATATAGTGATTGAGGGATTAAGGGGTTGGGGTGGACGTTTGGACACAGCCAATGTTTGAAAAATGAAATATTCATGGTCGTCAATGCTTTCCTTCACTTTTTTTAGCTTGACATTGTTTATGTTGAAAGTACACACTGAAGTTCTTTTCGCTAAGATTTATTGTTGTTTAAAAACTCCTGACTTCCAAACTCTTTGTTAGAATGATTACATATTTTTTTATGATCTGACTTCAAAGGGAGCTTGAAGGTCCGGTTGGCTAATGGAAAGGATGAGTGCTCTGGAAGAGTTGAAGTCCGTCATGGTGACACATGGCATTCAATATGTGATGCATCCTGGACGGAAAGCAAAGCAGGAGTGGTATGCGAGGTGCTGGAGTGTGGCCGTGCTATAACTGCACCTGGTGGTGCCAGCTTTGGTCAAGGCAACGGAACTGTGGTGGAGGCCAGCAGCACATGCTTCAACAATCTGACTTCTTTACAGAAATGCTCTGTGAATGGTTTCAGTAGATCAACATGCGGACATGAGCATGATGCAGGGGTCATGTGTGCAGGTAAGAAGCTTGAAGATACTACCATATAATTTTAAACTTTCAAAAGCATATCCAAGTTCTTCTGACTATTTTTATTCTTAGTATAAAATGTATGAAATTTAAAAGCAGCCTAAAAATACTGTATATGTATGTGTGTTTTTTCTGTGGCAAGATTTTTGCTACCCTGTGGTGACAATTTCCCAGATATAATTTACATTTTCGGGACTTATAGGTGTTTTTCGGAACAAACGAGTGGTCCCCATAAGGAGAAGTTCTCTTTTTGGAGTGAGGATTAGGTTTAGGACTAAGATGTGAATTGAGATTAAGTAATGTTTAGGGTTAGGTATGTGTTGGTAAGGGTAAGAGTTAGGCCATAGAAATAAAGGCAATATCACTGGAAGTCAAGGGAAAGTCAATTTTGAACATCTGTAATCTTTATTTGATAAAGCTGCATGATCTCAGACATTCAGAGGCAAGACAGCTATTTTCAGCAAAACACAAAAATACCTTTTTTGCTTGAATCAAAACTAAAGTTCATTGGCTATACTACTACTCCAACATAGTACTGCCAATCTGGTCGTTATGAGGCGGGATACTGTCCACCTATTGGCCACCTATTTGACCATAACCTTATTTATCTTTTACCAAAATATTGGCAGAAGATAAAAAAAATGAAAAACCCACTGTGAATGATATTCAGTGTTGGAAAAAATACTCTGATTAAAAGTTGAGGTCTTGAGTGTATTATGGACATATTACTTAGTAAGGTGGTCTCCCACCATCAATGTTGAACTGCTCACATTTACTATAACCATTTGTGTTGACTTCTGTGCTCATTATATTATAAAAACAAAACAGATAAGAATATATCCACATAGAAACCTATGAGTTAATAAAAACATGAAATACCTTTAAAACAATAAAAGAGTAGAATTGATTTGGGGATATGCTGAGGGTCATCTAGAGAAGGAAATCACTTATATGACTAGGAAAGCAAAAAAAAAAAAAAAACTCAAACAAAACACAATTAACGATACAAGGTTACAAGAACAAATATTGAGTAAGGATAGTGCCAAACATGCCTGAATACCACTGAAGATAATAAATGGGAAATGACCAAAAAGTTTTTCCCCAGATTTCTGGCTTGCAAATAATTGGGAAGACAACCACTCCAGTTTTGACAAGCATGATTTCAATGATAAAACTGATTTAATCTGTGCAGCCATAAACAATTTTTGAAGGAAATAATCCTCATAAAGTGGTTCTAAAAGGTTATGAGACACAGATGGGTCCTGTGTTTGAACACATTTTTGAGAGGTTTCTCTGCACTGCCTTTGTTCCACAAGCATGGCAGTCATTTATTATTTCCCTGTTGCCCGACACAATACAGTGAAAAGTTCCAAATGGCCTCAGACCTTTATACCTTATTATCAATTCTAAACATAATAATAGAGGCTAGTGAGCAGGGAACTCTGTCCATAACGGTTAACCACATAGATCCCATGCAATTTGCCTACATGGCTAATTAGTAGGTAGAGGATGCAATTTTCCCCCTGGATAAAGTATAAAGCCTTTTAAACTCCTCAAACATATAAACAGATATTATTTGTGGGACTATTAATCCTCCATAATCCTTTAAAGGACCTGAGTGACCAAAATGTCAACAGCAATGTGCTGCTAAACTTTGTTAGAGTTTCTGAGAGACAAACCCCAACAGGTATGTGATGGTAGATTCATATCTGTATGCAGTGTTGAACACAGGTGTGGTTGCTGGCCTGAAAAATGCTGACACTCTTTCTACACGTTCACTTGATTTCCTTGATTACAGCTTGCTTGATCCTAATATCAGCCAAAAGAGTTTTCACTGCGAGAATAGTTAGGAGCAGCAGCCGTCAGACCTTCTTTTAAGCCTATTTTAATAAGAGGGTAGGATGTGGATCAGGTCAATGAATAGCTTGGAATAGGAAATTGAATTATCAGCTTACAAATTGCAATCTTAATACATTTAGATAAATGCAGAGTCTGACAGCTTTCATTCATTCTTTTTTAACAGTGAAAGGTTCACTCATTATTACTTTAAGCATCTTGAGGACGTTAAGTATCTGCCAGGTTTGTGATGAAAATTTTTTTGGTCTTATGCAGCCCTTGTGAGGTTAGTTGGCGGCTCAAGCCAGTGTTCTGGAAGAGTGGAGATCTTCTACAAAGGCAAATGGGGTACAGTGTGTGATGATGACTGGGAAATGAGCAATGCAGATGTGGTGTGCAGACAGCTTGGTTGTGGTCATGCAGTCTCTGCCCCCACCAGTGCCCATTTTGGGAGAGGCTCCGGTCCAATTTGGATGGATAATGTGGAGTGTACAGGCCAAGAAGCTGCTCTTACACAGTGCACACACCGGGGTTTTGGAGAGAACAACTGTGGACATGGTGAGGATGCTGGTGTCATCTGTTTAGGTAAGGATCCAGGTTCATTTTGGATTTATGATTCTGTTTTCTTAGATTCAGCCTTCATGACTCTGCAAATCTTTTTCAGGTGATCTAGAAAAGCCCCAAATTACTTTAAGTCCTACAACAGAGGTTAACTGGGGTGAAAAGGTGGAAATCACCTGTACTATGTCAACACAGCACCTGGGTGGGATATTTATACTGAAAAATACTCAAGGTTCATTTTCTAAGGAAAAAGTCTCAGAGCACGAAGCAGCAACTTTTGTCTTCCCTCAAGCCGATTTCAGTCTCAATGGGTCATACTTTTGTGAATACCATAACAAACTGCTAGATCAAACAATCTATTATCCTCAAGGAAATACTATTGATCTAACAGTTCGAGGTAATGAAGATTTTTTTATTGTTTTGTTTGCATAGGATTTTACAAAACTTAGTGTTTCCATGTGTAAAAGTGTCTTTTCTTTTTCAATCGTGCAGTGAAATTAGAGATCCCCAGTATCTCTCTATCATCTGGTCATGCGATGGTGATCTACACTCCTGTTAAAATATCTGTGACCAAAGGGAGCGCCTTCTCCATAACCTGCTCCACTCATTCCAGATACCCTGGGGGCATCTTCTACCTGGCTAGGTCTAAAAAAACATTACTCAGGCAAAACCGGCTTTTGGACACACCATCTTCTACATGGCATACTTTGAATTCCCAGAAATAGATTTTAAAGACCAAGGAGAGTATTCTTGTCTCTTCGCCATCAACATCTCATCTTTTTCCTTCTCTTCCCTTCCCTCCAAGTCACTCCAAGTCACTGTACTCAGTAACAAAGATACCTTAATTTCTTTCATATTTGTATTGAATTTTTTTCTTTTAACACCTCTTTTTATCCTTACAGCAACCTCCTCCTCGTCAGTTGTTGCTGGTGCTGTGAGTGTTTTAGTGCTATTCCTTATCCTATTGGTCATTGGTTTCTTTGTTTGGAAGAAGAAATGGCGAGGTGCAGGTAAGATAACTATTTAATTGTTAATGATCCTCGAATAATATACACTATATTGCCAAAAGTATTTGCTCACCCATCCAAATTATTGGAATCAGGTGTTCCAATCACTTCCATGGCCACAGGTGTATAAATTCAAGCACCTAGGCATGCAGACTGTTTTTACAAACATTTGTGAAAGAATGGGTCGCTCTCAGGAGCTCAGTGAATTCCAGCGTGGAACTGTGATAGGATGCCACCTGTGCAACAAATCCAGTCGTGAAATTTCCTCGCTCCTAAATATTCCACAGTCAACTGTCAGCTGTATTATAAGAAAATGGAAGTGTTTGGGAACGACAGCAACTCAGCCACGAAGTGGTAGGCCACGTAAACTGACGGAGCGGGGTCAGCGGATGCTGACGCGCATAGTGCGAAGAGGTCGCCAACTTTCTGCAGAGTCAATCACTACAGACCTCCAAACTTCATGTGGCCTTCAGATTAGCTCAAGAACAGTGCGCAGAGAGCTTCATGGAATGGGTTTCCATGGTCGAGCAGCTGCATCCAAGCCATACATCACCAAGTGCAATGCAAAGCGTCGGATGCGGTGGTGTAAAGCACGCCGCCACTGGACTCTAGAGCAGTGGAGACGCGTTCTCTGGAGTGACGAATCGCGCTTCTCCATCTGGCAATCTGATGGACGGGTCTGGGTTTGGCGGTTGCCAGGAGAACGGTACTTGTCTGACTGCATTGTGCCAAGTGTAAAGTTTGGTGGAGGGGGGATTATGGTGTGGGGTTGTTTTTCAGGAGCTGGGCTTGGCCCCTTAGTTCCAGTGAAAGGAACTCTGAATGCTTCAGCATACCAAGACATTTTGGACAATTCCATGCTCCCAACTTTGTGGGAACAGTTTGGAGCTGGCCCCTTCCTCTTCCAACATGACTGTGCACCAGTGCACAAAGCAAGGTCCATAAAGACATGGATGACAGAGTGTGGTGTGGATGAACTTGACCGGCCTGCACAGAGTCCTGACCTCAACCCGATAGAACACCTTTGGGATGAATTAGAGCGGAGACTGAGAGCCAGGCCTTCTCGTCCAACATCAGTGTGCGACCTCACAAATGCGCTTCTGGAAGAATGGTCAAAAATTCCCATAAACACACTCCTAAACCTTGTGGACAGCCTTCCCAGAAGAGTTGAAGCTGTTCTAGCTGCAAAGGGTGGACCGACGTCATATTGAACCCTATGGATTAGGAACGGGATGTCACTTAAGCTCATATGTGAGTCAAGGCAGGTGAGCAAATACTTTTGGCAATATAGTGTATTTTACGGTGGTCCAATGAGCCTGTTATAGCCATTAAACACTCAGAGGGTGTAATAAATATTTTAGATATTAACACACTGACTATATAAGCAATGAATAAATGCATATTTTCACATATTTGTTGGCACCTATGCTAAAAGAATGTCAAAACTTTAAAATGTACTTGTTATTTCATTTGATTTGATTCCACTCATCCAAAAAAAAAAAACCCTGTTCTACCCTACTTGAAAATAGTTTGATAAAAATGACCTATTCTTGAAATAAATCTGTATCTTTTAGTCAGAAAAGCCAAATACTGCAGCTGGGTTTTGCATAAAACAATGTAGGAGCTTTGATGCTGTGGCGCTGTTTCTTCTGAATAACCTAATTAGATTGCTTGGCATAATGAATTCTTTAAATATACAGTTATTTTCAATAAAACTCTCTTTACTTACAACATAAAACTGAAAACGAACAATTATTGGGACATTCTGCAGGATAATGGTTGAAAACATCCGACTAAATCAACACACATTAATCTTTTCATTTATCATTACACCATTTGTACCCAAATTCTGAGTTGAAGAGAAAGGGCAAGAGATTTTGCAAAGAGAAATCAGCTCTCTGTATCCTCTTGGTAAAATATACCTGATGATCTTAAATAAAAAGATTATCTCTTAAAATATATAATTTACCCACTATATAAAGGAAATTGAATTTAAGGGTAGATTTATCTCGATTTTGATGTCATATTACTCAGATTTTTATTATTTTTTATTATGATTATTTGGTGAAAGCAAAAATTGAATCTAGATGACTGAGATGTTATGCTTGTGTTTTAGGTGTCATGGTTCAGTTTAGCAACAGGTTAGAGCCCAAAAAAACGATCTGGATGACAGAAGCAACGGGGCACTCGATGAAAGGTAAGAATAACTTGCAACTATCACACATGCGCTGAAAGTTTTGTTCCTTTCTCCTTTCTAAAATTATTTAATCCGATTGGAGGGAGAAGGTCTGTAATCCCTCCAGAATAATTACTTCTTTTGTTATGACAAGACATAAAAAACAATGACCTCAGAGTTGAGTTTGAGAATCTGTGTTAAATTATTTTTCATTTTACTTTGGATTTTACATAGGGTGACCATATTTTCATTTGGAAAAACCAGGACACCTTGCATCGGGGGGGTGGGGGGGTTGATTGAAAGAACAAATGTCTCATCATCAGGATTTGCTCCGTGATCAGAGGAAATGTTACTTGGCGCAGAAAAGTGGTGAACATTGGAAGTTCAGGTTAATATAATACAACTCTGTGAATAGTTCCGTCTGAAATGAATGAAAATAGTTGTTTTAATGGTTATTGAGCCAGATATGAGGCGGTAGTGTTTGATTTATCTAAAGGTTTTTATCTGTTACTGTGTAAATGAGTTTGGCTGTAATTTAAGGACAGATTCTAATAGATCTGCAGAGTGGGAACTATAAATCTGATAGGAGTTTAATTTTTTTACTGTTGTTTTGCACAATATGCTTAACTAAGTATTTTTTGTTGTTGAATATTAGAGAATTTGCATAATAGGGAAGAGTTAAAATATAAACAATAAAATACTGTAAAGTGTTTTAACAATATAAAACTGGAGAATTAATAACCAATATGCAGCTATGGACATTTTTACAGTATTGGATATTTGAAAATAGCAGCAACATCAGAGATGTGCAGAATGACAGCAGCAGGTTATTTAACTGACTAAGGTTTCTATCATTACATTTGATTTTATTTGTTCCTGCTCCCGGTGGTTGGAATCTTTATTCCACTCTGGATTCTTGTGAGTGCAGTCTTTGTTGGCTTTAACTTTTTTTAAATAAATGAAAAACAAACAGTTTTGAAAACCTCGGTATTCATTCTTTTCCTGCTTTGTGTGTCAACTTTCACGGTTGCTAAGCAACAGAGCATACGTCGGTAAAACCCGCGGAAGGGAGGACCTGTTCGAATTTACAGACAAAACTCTTCTGGCCTCCTTATTTTCAAGGACTTCGAAAGATCCAGTCTAGGTAGACCGCGTCCTTGGAGGATGCGTCCTAGGTTTTCGGACAGAGCCTCTGATTAAGAACAGGGCTGCCCGCACTGACGCGGCTCAGGGATTACGTCACACGGAACGTCGTGCGCAATGAAATCAGGACATTTCCTCACTTTCTAAAAAAAACCCGGGACGCCCGGGACGCCCGGGACAGGACGTGAAATACGGATATGTCCCGGGAAATACGGACGTTTGGTCACCCTATTTTACACCAACACATTCTCTGCTGTGTTCCTTCTCCTTTTCCTGCTTTATTTTTGTGGCAACCTTGCCGCAACAATCACTGGAATGAAAAATTTTTGCAAATCTCATTGTGGCCTCATTTAATAATTTAGGCGATTTTATCTTTACACTCAAAGCTTTCTGTGGCAATAACTCAATAACTCGCTCCGTGTGTATGTAGCAAGTCTTTTTTGATTCGATTGGGCTGAATTTAAAGTTTGTCTGACTTGATTCAAAGTCTTATGACATGAGTCAGCACTTCTCCTTGCTGTAGTCAAAAATCACTATGGCTCCCTTGAGATGCAACACATTGGAAACCATGATGTGGTAGCATAAATCGAATTTGAGATCTGTTGTCTTTTTTTTTTTAGGGAACGTACCAACCCCTTGTATGTAAAAGGACGACCTACTGCCAGCATGAAAGGAACAAGCACCAACCTTGATACTGAGAGCATTGGAGAGAAAGCCCCAGAAGACTTGGCAGGAAAAGTTTGTTATGAACCTGACCTACTGGTTGATTGAGGGTGGAGACATTCCTCCAGCAGTAACTTTCAACAAAAACTTACATTTGTTTTTTCAAAGTAACACAACATGAAACCTAAAGTGGGTGTTTCACTAATATACCTTAGAAAACACCAACAATGATTTCTTAATGTACTGAGACTTCATGGTGTAAGCTTCTGTATGAGAGACAGAAAATTGGACTTACAGTATGATGATGTATAGGAAACTACATAGGAGCTCTACAGGCAACAGGAACTTTGTTGTGTTTTTACCACTCTTTTCAGAAAAGTAATTTTTCATTTTTGTTTTACAATGTAATAATGAATATCTTATCATTTGCTCTAAGATAAATTGCAATGATTGCACATAGATCAAATAAACCTTTAATCATATTTAATGCCATATTTAGTATGAATCAACTATTTTCCTACATATTTCTATAGCAATTATTATAGATAGGGTATATTATAAAAACAGTTGGGTCAAAAATCAGTTGCTGGTAGACAGAAGACAATTTGTTTTTTTTGGTGTTTCTCAGTAATTATATTTTTGTGAAACATAAATGTTTAATAAAATTGTAAGTCATACAAATACCATTTGTTGTTAATTTCCTAAGTAATCAATGAACATTAGAGGAAAAGATGAGAGATGGTGTTAAATACATATAATACTGGATGATATTTCTAATGAAGTTTTACCTAAAAACAAATAGTGTCATGTTTGGCTTAAGGTTCCTAACCCACATGCAGAACACTGAAGCAGGAGAAAAGTTCAAAGGTTTATTGAAGTAATTCTGTACAAAGATAAACAGATCCAGGGGTTAATCAGATCCAGGACTAGTCACGAGTGGGTTCACTGCAGAGGGGGACAGTGGAGTTAGTGGATGTCCAGGTAATTTGCAGGATGTGAGTGAGCAGGACAGTACCTGTTCTGGAGTTTGAGCTTAGCGGCTGAGGGGGGGAACCTTGAGGGTCCAGAGGGTGTCGGCAGGCTGAGGGCTTGGCGGAGGCAGAGCTTGGTTTGAGTGTTTGCAGATCACAGATTAGAATTTCCCTTCTAGATTCTTCAGAGAGCAGGCAGGCAGGTCTTTGACAGGAATTATTCTCCAGGGTTCTTCAGAGATCAGACAGGCAGATTTCCAACAGAAAAACTCTTCAGGGTTTCTGGTTTCAGGCAGGTTCAACCTGGGAAGCAGAAAGGAGAAATCAGATCAGGTTTTCAGGGAGTCAGAGATTCAGACAGGCATGTTGGCTCAGGCTTGCTTTCTCTGCGGTAGAAAGTCTGCGGGAGAAAAAGGCGTATGGATGAGTCTTTTGGTCAGAATCAGACACTTGGGACAAGACTGCCCCCACCCCAGAATCAGAGGCATCCACCTTCAATATGAACTGCTTGGAGGGGTAAGGTTGGACGAGGATGGGTGCACTAGAGAAAAGAGTCTTGAGTTTATTAAATGCAGCCTCAGCCTCCGCAGACCAGTGAAAAGTCCTTTTGACAGATGTTAGGGCAGTAAGAGGCTGAGCTGTCTGACTGTAGTATCGAATGAACCTTCTGTAGAAGTTAGTAAACCCCAGAAAACTTTGTAGTTGTTTGCGATTTTCGGGAGTGGGCCAGTCTAGAACCGCCTTGATCTTGTCCTCATACGGCTTCACCTGCCCGCCCTCGAGCACAAAACCTAGGAAGGTAACAGAAGGACGCACTGCATGAAAAGTGAGATTTTCGTCCCCGTAAACCCCCGTAAACTCCCGCAGATCTGCCTGATTTTTGTCAGTTTCCGACAATTTGCAACCCGTGCTTGTCCGCGTTTGTCGTGCCACAAATTGTCGGAAACGGACTCTGTCGTATGTGGAGAGCGATCAGCTGTACTAATGGCCCTAATTAGCATATGAATGCAGCAAACCCGCGCGGCTGGCCAGGTCTGGCTTGAATAACCTTCTCAGTATTGGCTGAAACCACTATTCTCAAACAAGTGAAATCGCTCGTGATTGGCAGCAAAACCACACGTGGCCACGCCAGGCTTTAATTTTCTTACTGAGTATTGGACGGAACCACTTCTTTTTAAACAAGTAAAGTCGCTCGTGATTGGTTGGCATATATATATATTTACATATAAATTTACATATATATATTTATTCATATATATATATATATATATATATTTATTCATTCATATATTTATTCATTCATATATTTATTCATTCACATGGTGTGTATTTATGTTATTCTACACTACTACACAATTATTATGCTACCATCAAGGACATGAATGAATTTATACAGGAAATGAAGATTTGCCAGGAAGCTGTTTATGCAAAGAAAGAGCTTTATTAAAACACAAACAACTATATACAACGCATATCCAAACACATGCGTTTCTAAAAATTAAAAGTCTGTGAACGGTCCGTTTGCTTCCTCGGGGTTGGAGGTAACTGGCAGCATTCCCTCCGAGGCAGGTCCGATGTGCAGACGCCTACTGTGCGTGGCCCTGTACTTCGGCATCGCTTCTAACCGGGACTGCAGCTTAACACAGAGTTCAGTGAGATCCGTCCTACGAAATGGCGGCGACCGTACAATCCATCCAGAGTTCCACTTCCTCATCTGCTAGCACACTCTGCCTCGCTTTCAGCAGCTGAAAAAAAACAAACAATGAATCAGTGCACTGCGTATGGACACAACACATCTATTAATGCACCTGAAAAATAGTCACCAAATAAAGTCTTACCCTCTTTCTTCTGGCCCGACTCCGAGCAGATTGCCTCCGCACGCAGCGTGTTGGCTGGCTGCGTATATCTGAAGCTCCTGCGTACCGTCTGAAAATACGTCTTACAGGCAGCTGGAAAACAATTAAATGAGAGTGGTATAAATAAAAAATCAAACGCAAGTCACAGTAACAAGGAAGGAGAAAACATTAAAACAAGTCACTTACACACAATGTCGTCTTTATCAACATTGTGCAAATCTGGACTTGCTGATATGGCTCCGAGCAAATAGGAGGTCTGTGAAAACAAAATGTACAGCTATGATCGGTATCCATTTCCTTTTACCGCAGAATGAAAGCATATTCTTTAAATCTTACCCTTGCTCCGGTTCATAGCGCCTGCAATTAGTCTCCGAGTTGTGAAGACGGC